ATTAAAAAACATTAAGAAGGGCAAACACGATATTTAGAATTTAGGTCGGGCAAATACGATATTTAACCCTTAGCAAGGGCGTATACGAAATTCTCCCTTTGTATAAGATCTATATTCTCTTGTTCTATATTTCTTGAGTATAAGACTTCTTTGTGCTCCCTAAATTGAAGAACAAATGAGTTGCGATTTTTTAATTACCCGGTAAATACAAAATTAAAGTATAGTTAAAATATGGGAAACTTATTGTAGATAAACATCAAGTTCATCTCCGCAATTATTGACGATGTACCATTGCACCACATTAAGATAGTCTCCTAGTTGTCCCAATTTTGAAGCCCCTAATGTACGAACTTTATTATTGAATAAATCCATCTCGTGTTTAGTAATTGAAACATCCCAATTGCGTTCTACACGATTAAATCTTGTCTCAATATCATTGACATAACGAGATAAAAAAGTGATAGCCTCATCGACAACATATGCTTCAGTAATAGAGCCATCTGGACGTGTTCTGACTTACGGGCCCTCCTAATAACGCCTCCTCAGGTAAATGAACACACAAGTGAACCATGATAGTAAAAAATACAGGAGGAAATATCTTCTCAAGATTGCATAATATAATAACAATCCCAGTCTTCATATCCTCAAGTTCTTTGACATATAGTCTTAGAACATATTTTTTGAAAGAATTGGCAGAACTCAATCAAAGTTTCACGGATATCCTTATTCAAAAAAGGGAGAATGGCTACTGGTAGTATTTTTTGAAGCATTACATGACAATCATGTGTTTTCATTCCTCCAAGTGTATTATGATGTCACATATCGACTGACGTTGGATGCATAACCGTCGGGTAGGCGAACAGACTTGATAAATTTGAAAAACTCGACACATTCATCTTTAGTCAATGTGAAGTCAGCATGAGGCTTCTCATATTTGCCATTTCTCTCTTTTAACCGTTGTTCCTTGCGAATTTTAAGATCCTCCAAGTCTAAACGTGCTTTTGTAGTATCTTTTTATTTCAAAGGATCATTTAACAACGTCCCAACTATATTATCATGAACATTTTTTTGTATATGCATGAGATCAAGATTGTGACGCAACAGTAGTTTGGACCAATATGGAAGTTCAAACAGGATACACTTTTTTGACCAATTCAACTCGTCAGTACCTCGCTTACGCTTCCTATCCCCATTATTGGGTACTTTTCCAGTAGTACATACAGGAATATCCTCCAATTGTTGCAAAATATAATCATTTGTGAATTGACGAGGTCGTTCCCTTTTCTCTTCCTTTCCATCAAACTCTAAGCTCTTTCGCCACCTATGTTTTTTACTTAAAAAACATCGATGCCCTACATAAGATTGTTTACCACGAATCCGGATAGAACGAGTATATTCAAGGCATACCGGACATGCCAATTTTCCCATAGTGCTCCACCCAGACAAGTAAGCATAGGCAGGGAAGTCACTGATTGTCCATATTACTGCGGCACGAAGACTAAACTGTGATTTTGAATATTCATCAAACGCTTCAACCCCATCACACCATAAAACTTTAAGCTCATCCACAAGCGGCCTTAAGAAGACATCAAAGTCTTTACCAGGAGATTTTGGACCAGGAATCAATAATGTTAAAAGGTAATTGCTCTTATGCATTATAGACCAAGGTGGCATATTATATGACATCAAAATGACTGGCCACATACAATGTGATGTTGTCATATTGCTAAAAGGGTTAAAGCCATCTGAAGCCAACCCCAATCTCACACTCCTCGGATCATCTGAAAAATCGGGATATAACTTATCAAAATGTTTACAAGCCTTTCCATCAGCAGGATGACGCAAAACTCCAGCCTCCTCCTTGCGAACTTCTTTATGCCACTGCATATCTTTGGCTTTGTGGCGTGACGCATATAAAAGCTTCAAACGAGGTGCTAGCGGAAAGAGTCGCAACTTCTTATGTGCAATTTTGTTGCGCACGTAACGACTACTTTGACAAACCGGACATGCTATAGCATCTTTGTTGTCCCCATAGAAAATAGCACAATCATATTGACAAACATCAATAAGCTCATAACCTAAACCAGCTTCACAAAGCAACATTCTAACATCATAATAGCTCTCTGGACAATTATTACTATCTGGAAGCACCTCATGTATCAACTTCAGCAACATCTCAAACGAATTATCAGACCACTTGTTCATCACTTTCAAATTCATCAACTTCACAACAAATGTCAAGGTAGAAGAATTCTTACATCCTTCATACAAAGGATTACTTAGAGCTTCATGCAGCTTCTCATAACGAGCATTTCCAATAACTGGTTGCTGATTTTCAAATAAATCATTAGTAGGGCCGATATTAAATAAATGATGACCAATTGCATCCTCTAACCCTTCTCTTAAGCCACTAAATTCATCATTAACAAAATCATCGGGTCCCGCATCTTCTTCATCGACTTCAACCTCACCGTGATGCACCCACCGTGTATATGACTTATCAATTCCTATATTAATCAAATGGGCAGCAATGATACCTATATTTTGTAGTCTCGAATTGAGACAGTTAGCACATGGGCATAAAGTTAACCAATTGGAGTTCAAAGTATGTTGGGCAATATTTAGAAATTCCTTTACCCCGTTCACATACTCGAGCGAAACCCGATCCCC